GGTTAGGCCGGTCACGCAGGGGCCTGCCGCCGCCCTGACCCTCCTGCTAAGGCGGGGCTTTCTTCACAGAAGATGTTGGTGTACTTCTGGGGATTCCTGTACAGCAACTACCTTCGGTTTTGGCTGAAGTGGATCTTGAGGCTGCTGACTCGGAAATGCGAGCTCCAGCGTGTCTTTGACGGCTCGAAGGCAGGCGCGCAGCGGACGCTGAGCATAGGTAATGCAGGATGCTAAATCAGGGGGCTGGTCTGGATCTTTAGAAACGCCGTGAAAAGCAATCCTTGGAAACCAGTACCTGTCCCGAGTGCAGCGTGCGTCCCCCGGATCCTGTTTTCACGGTTTCCTTCTTCCTGGCTAGTCTATGAGAATTTTAAATCAGAGTGCCAGATCTAGTTTTCTTGCCTGCTTGCTAAGGTAATTCCAGTTAGCTTCAAAAAGTGAATCAGAAATCTCACGTTTTTCCCCCAGAGCCTTCCCCTCACGTTGTGTAGGTTTTTACCTTCCTGATATTAAAAAAGCCACACAGAACAGACGTGCATGCATTTTTTTGGGGGAGGGAGGAAGATTAAATGCACTATTCTGCCTGATGCAGAATTTTAATCTAAAATAGTAATTTAAGAAACTATTTACACTTTTTGCCATTTTAACAATAGCTTGAGGAAGTGACTTTGCTTCCTTATTCTTTAGTAATAAACAAAAACATTTCTAAGAGTGGAAAAATATCAAGAGATATATTTTTGACACCTTTTAAAATTTGTCTTTGTTTCTGTACATGTAATTGATCAATGTTTTAAAAAATCCGAGTCTATTTTCACCATTGTACTCAAGGATTATAAAGAAATCTATGTAAATTAAGACTTTCAGTCTTAATTTTAAGATTGAGCAATTTTTGTTCAATTACATGTATGAAAGGGATGCAAAATTTTGTAATACTTACATGCCACAAGAACACCTATTGTCATTTATTTAAAACAATTCAGTTCAATTTAACTGTGAGATTTACTTTTTTTGTATTGCAGAACATTCACTGGAATCATCAAAGAATAAGGTAAAAGATACTAGAGATTAAGCTTTAGTAAAACCTTCTTTCAAAGACAGGTCCCAGAAAAGAACATGTGCATTTACTTTTTGAGGGTGGAGGAATAAAAGGCAGAGAGGGGAGAAGAGCATTTTGGGTTCTGTATGCTAGGGTCACTCAATGTTTCTCAAAAATAACCCCATGTCCCATCAAATGCTTGTTTCCATCTCTCTGAAAGATTACCCGCTCTTTAGCAGCAAGTCAGACAAGTCATGACACAGAGCTTCTGTTCTTGGAGAGGGTCAGTTCTCCCTGTCACAACAATCTGTTGCTGTTTTTGTAGAAACCAGAAGCTGATATAGATAAATGGTATGGATAAAGCAATTAAATGCAGTGTGTACAATAGTATCTTAAATTGTTGAAAAAATGTAATGCGAGTTTGCAGGCAGATATTTGACTGACAAGTTCATTCCAATTGTTCTATAGCAGTTAGACGTAAGCTAACACTTTAAACCCTCAAATTTTTATATCTTAAACAAAACTTTTCCTCTTTAGACGGTGAGGTGACTGCATTCTCCCTTTTTCTAGCTGATCTCTGCAATGTGATGTTGAGAGAGAATTAGTAACTGCCACAAGCATCTTTGTTGCAGTAGAGCACAGTATGGGTGGGTCTTTTAGCATCTCTTAATTAAATGATTGTATCAAATACATTACTGTTCAGTTTTAAAAGAGTTAGCCTTTTGCTTTACTGAAATGAAGCTGCTTTGGTATTAGCATGAATTGTATTAAAGAATGCATTGTGACCGTAAAAAGTTTAGCAGACAAAGTTAAATTATTGTGAAGCGATTTTAGGCAGGCAGTGTATAATTATCATTACTAGTATTTGCCCTTTACTCTAAAAGACTGCAGAGTAGCTGTATCTTACGTTACGTATCTTACATACAAAGTTCTTTTGTTTCACCCCAGCACTGAAATCTCAACTTCGTTAGTTCATTGTCTTCTAATTCTGAAGCATTATTAAAGTTTTATCACTTTTGCTCCTCGATAGTTGCGTTTGTTTCAATGGGATTAGGAAGAACATGTTTCAATTCAGCATTTGAAAGCAAATGAGAACCTAGACTGAACAACTCTGGAGCTTTTTATTTATTCTTTATGGGACTCCTGTGCAAATGTTGTTTACAGTCTGACAAAGTTACTAATTATGCTTTTATGTAATTATTGCATTTATATGCAATTTGAGCCCATTTATTGTAGAAATTTGCACTAAATTGACCGTTGTCCTTTGATAGTAAAGAATACATACATGTCAGGTATTCAGAAGCTGAGAAATAAGAATAAAGTAGATGATAGATTTCTGCATTCCTCATGAAGTCTTCTACTGTGTTAACTTCCTAGGTTTTAAGAAATGCTGTACATGTTGAGGAAGCTGAAATGGAGAATTGTATCAGAGATGTAATGAAAGAAAAGAAAATTGAACAGGAGGATACAGGGTACGTTTGGAACCCAAACAGAAGTGGCAGATAACATGGCAGATAATCTGACTTCCTGGCGTGTTCTTGCAGTTACTTAATCTGATACAATATTTAGGCCATTTAGCACAGATCTTTAGAATGAAATTAGAAAATAAGGTATGGTTATGTTCTCTTCAGTTCTAGAAAATAAATTGCAAAGTTTTAATTGACATGGATTTGGGATAACTGCATCTCCATCTTGCAAGTCCCTTCGGTTACTCCTTATTTCTAAGTAATACGATTATTGCATGGGTTGATTACATGAACTATGTAATTGCTTAGATATATTTGAGAGGGTATAGTGGTGCCTGAATAATGTTTGCGTTCATCTGCATAACTAATTATGAGCGACTGAGAGTAAAAATTGTGAGTAGTCAAAATTTTGAAGTTTAATGCAATGCTTCTTTGAAGCTATAAGTATTTGTGACAAATTTTCACTTTAAGACTTACAAAAAGTTTGGGAGTAGGTGAAGGTACAGGGTTCAGGATGATGTTCGGAGTTTTCTTGTGTCATCACAGATTTTAGCTAAGTAATTTTTTCTTCCATAATTTAAGGGCCTGACTGCGCAGCACTGAAATCGACTAGATTTTTTTTTAAAGTAGAAGAAAGATCCATATAGCAGTATACTTAACCAATATGCTGTAGTTTGAAAGATAAACATACAGCACTCCCTAATTCTAGTGTTTACATGCATTAACATAAGAAACATCTTATCTGGTAGTTCAAGCAAGAATTTACGGCTAACTGTGCCTCTTTAATAGCTTCTGTGTGGTGTTTTGTTGTTATTTCAGGTTTAAGACAAATCTGCATATATCCTTACTGCAGATATCAGGTTATAAAAAACTTTATTTGAATGTGGAAAATCTGAGGAAGGTCCCGTATGATTCGGATAACGAAGAACATGAGGAACAGTTAATTGAGGTGAAAAGAATCTTTTAAATACAAAAGCTGTTTGTTTGTTTTTTCCCTCCAAGTCCAACAGCTTGAATGAACTTAATTTATTGGTAGTATTCTTACCAGCTGGCCTATTTAGAGCTCATTTCTACTTGTGAACTGCCAAGCCATTACAGAAATGACACATTAAAATACAACATCAAAGCAAAACAAATTAGTAAACTAGTTACTTGCACTGGGATTATTTTGTGTGAAATCAGACATAACAACAACACATAAGTAGCAAAATAATTTTGTAACGGGTCACTGAAGGATCGTAACTAAAAAGGTGTTTAACCTTAGGCACATGTCTAACTTTGTAAACCAATAATTACTAAATAAAAAAGACAGTAATGCTTTCTTATTACTGCATCCCAGTCAATGTCAAAGAGGATAGTTTAATGCTGGAAGAGAAGTAGTATCAGTAATGTATTTTAGGTAACAATAAATAATGGCAAGCAAATAATATGATACTGCTTGAGGCTTTTTAAAATAGCTTCTACTGTGCAAATATATTAGCATCTCATTTTCTTAGCATTTCATAATTATCTCAACTTGCCATGCAAGTCCCAACATTGACGTGTTAAGTAAGCAGTCACTGAGAATTTGTATGCCAGTTTATAGCTGTCCTATCAGAAAATGATGCATAAATTAATTTCTGAAGTGAAACAAGTCTTTATTTCTTTTGTATTGATACAGTGGCTTTGTCCGTGAAGAGAAATTATCACATTTAATGTTAAATGTAATCATTTTCATAATTGCTGAAATAAGCCGTTGTAGTATGACTCCAGATTGCCACTAACAGAAAAGAACAGCATGCAGATTGCGTCCTATTCTGTGGTGAATGGTTTCTAATGTGCAGCAGCAAGTGTTCTGAATTATGTGACTTGGAATACTTTAGCAGCTGTGCATAACATGGAAGCATATTTGTGCAGCTTTGGAATTTGCTGATGCCGCATGAGAACCTGAAGGCCAGAATCACCAAGCAGTGGTGTGACATTGGCTTCCAAGGTGATGATCCCAAAACAGACTTCAGAGGAATGGGCCTCCTGGGGTTAGTGAATCTGGTGTAAGTGAAAAGAAGTATTTAATTTCTGTTGTAATTAATTTTCAATGTCTATGTATTTTCTCTAGTTAGTGCTATTTCTAATAAAGACTGAATAGAAGCAAACAGAAATGGTAGTTTCTGTACAGTGAAAACCAGTATTTTCTAAATAAGTCAACATTTCTAGTGGCTGCACGTCTGTAAATGCGTGGTTGGGTAGAGGCCAACAAGCGAGGAGAGCAACAGAAAGTTGCCCAAGACACCTTATTTTTTTGTTGTCATGTGATAGATTTGATAGGTTATAACTTAGAAAGTAACTTGTCAAAAGCTTTTAAAATTCCTGAATTAATTACTGTAATGAAAAATAAACAGGTTTGCATAACTTTGCTAAGCTAATTTGTGGACTTGGGTGAAGTTCATATTTGATATTCAGATCACAATGATTTTTTTTTTTTATTGTATTAGTTCATGCTGAATATAATCTAATTTGCTACCTTTCCCTTGGTTTTCGTTTTGTGCCATTTTTCAGAACACGGTAGTATTCAGCTTTAGTTCAAAGCTACACATTTTGATGTTGAACACATTAATTTTTTTTATATTAACTTAAAAAAAAAAATAATGAAAGATCCTGTTTTACACTGACAGGTATTTTAGTAAGCATTACACCGACGAAGCTCGTCAGATTCTTTCTCATTCAAATCACCCAAAGCTGGGGTAAGTCACTATATGACTTGTTCTGGCTTGTTCTGTGTAAGAGCTCATGTAAAGACTGCCAAGTATGTGTCCTGAAAATAAATATTTGTAGTTTTTTTTCCATTAAAGGATGAAAAAAGGGCCAAAGTAGAAAGGCGCGAGAAACCGCACACAGAAATCAATTTCAGTCTGGGAACTATGTGCAGCTTTTTTTTTTCAGAATAGACTCGTTGGGACAAAAATGTTGCAAAGTATTGGCTTTGGTTAACACAGTGAACACCTTTAACATCACAGTTAGCTTTATTAGTAATAGGCTTAGATTAGATTTAGAAATTAATACTTATTTTTCACCTTCTTACTGATCCTGTGTTGGGATGGAATAGATTATCTCTTAAGGCCCCTTTATTTGCTAGGTTTCTGTTCTGTAATAAGTATAAACAAATAGGTATTTTGTTGTTGTTCAACTTTAACTTCATTTTTGAAAACTTTGCATACTAAAACATTTAGCTCATTTTACAGGGAAGACCAGTCAGATTCAGAGGAAAGCTGGCAAACTTGTGTATATCGTCTGATCCATCTAGTCCCTAGTTAACTCAATCACTTACCAAGAATGGGAGGCTCTCATGACTTCCGTTGTAAATAATATTATCTTGTGCAGCTAGGTCGTGAATAGGATATCTGAGACATTTACTTCAATTAAATACCCATATCATGGACACAAATTAATCCTTTTTTTTTTTTTTTTTCCTTCCTTTCCCCAGAAACACTTGTTTTAACAGTCCTTTAAGAATTTCTATTGTGGTGCTTTCTATACCATGCAACAGAAAACCAGATTTTTTTCAGCTTGAAGAACAGGTTGAGATGGCCATTCCATTTATACTGTAACAATGTTTTTGATGTCCGATTTTTAAAATTCCAGCAGATCTAATGATTTCAAATGAGCAAATTAAGGTCAACGTTGATTAGCCTTACCAACTCATTATTGCCTAATGGAAGTATTTGCCATACTATTGTATAGGAAACTAGCGTTTTAAAATAACTTTTACATGGTTGGATGCACTAGGCAATGGAAAGACTGGTCTGTAGGCCGGAGTCAGCTTGACAACAAGTATCATAGGAAAAACTGACTCTTATAATTGTCCTAACGCAGACTGTTTCAGGGGAGCTTTTAGGTCCTTCGATCCATAAGGTAAAACGTGACCTATGATTGGTGTTGCAGATATTCTTATGCAATAGTTGGAATCAATCTGACAGAAATGGCATACAGCTTACTTAAGAATGGTGCTTTGAAGTCTCATCTGTACAACGTGGTCTCTGGATTGCCGCAGATGGAGCACTTCCATCAGTTTTACTGTGAGTATCTGTAGCTTCTTTACTACAGACTACGGGGGGGGAGGCCTACAAGTTTTTTGTTTAGGTTTTTTGGAGTGCATTTCCACTCTTTTCTCATTAGCCAGAGCAAGTTGTTTATCTTCTGGATCAGGTATTGGAAATGCACCTGATGCTTAAACATTGTGCTACAGAAATGTATATTTAAGGGATAAATTTGGGTGGCTTTTTATATATTAGAGACTGCAGTCTGAAAACTCAGTATTTGCAGATTTAATTTTTTATTCATTATTACAGTGTCCAAAAGCTTGCTGTTGACCAGAATGGGACACTCCCTATTTTAAGAGATTGAATAGAGTCTAAAGGATCGTTCTAGGTCTAGCTAGATCAAGGCAGAAAATTGTGGAGGTAATTTCTGCAGATCGGTATTTTATTTTCTTCACAGGTTATCTGGTTTATGAGTTTGACAAGTTCTGGTTCGAAGAAGAACCAGAAAGCATTATGCACTTCAACCAGTACAGAGAGAAATTCCATGAAAAAATTAAGGGACTTCTACTGGATTGTGATGTGGTACTAACATTACAAAATACAAAGAAACCTTAACTCCTCTGCAGTCTATGAGGTTCTGCATCAAAAATGGAATTATGCATTTGGATGGGAGTTTTGCATGTTTCACCAAAAACTGTTTTAACAATAGAACTTTTTTATTTTACATTTAAAAAAAAAAAAAAAATCAAAATTCAGTTAAGAAAGCTTGGACAATCAACCTCTGTTTACAGGTCTTTGTATGCTATATGCTATTCTCCAAAGAACAGCTTTTTTAAAACAAAACAAAACAAAAAACAACAACCAACACAAAAAACAACCCACAAATCTCAAGAGCCTCTGGATAGCTTGCTTTCACGATTTCTTTTATACTTCTTGGTGCAGGAACATGAAGCAGGTATTTATGCTGCATCATGTTTTCCATGAATAGATTTGATTGTTAATTGTCTTTTAAAAACATCTTTTAGTTGAGATTACTCTGGTTTTAGACTTTTTGTGTTCTTATTCTGTACATGTAGTTGATCGTTCACTCGTTAATGTTAAATTCCTCTGTAATGAAGAGGTCCGCAAAGGGGATGTATTAGTCACTTATGATTTTGGAGAAGAGGCTTAATACATCAACATACTGATGAACTTACTAGAAGTTACTTCTGGCTAAGGAACTTTTTTTATCTATGGATTTGCACCAGCAAATTCCTATGCTTGGAAAAAGCTTAGTTCGCAAACAAACAAAAAGAACCACAGATCATCAGTGTGAGGATCAGATCCTCAGACTAACGCTCCTCCTTCTAAAAATATTCCTACTGTAAAAATTTTCAATTTTTTCTAATCTGACTTCAGCTGCTCAGGCTGCTTGACTTTGCTGCCAGCCCTTTCTTTTAGCAGCTAGTGGGGTATTCTCGGTGGGAAGTGCAAGAGAGTTAGTTTAGCCCTTTTATGAAGTTCACTCATTAAAAACCTTTATTGCAGCTGCAATCCCTATTTTGTGAAAATAAATTCACACCTGAGTACAAGTCTCTAACAAAGATGTATTTTCCATGGAAGGGCTGCAACTGCGACGTGTTCCTTAATCTTGGCATCCTCAGACAATCTAGTCAATAGGACTTCATATCTATATTGTGACTAATGATTGCTTAAAGCAACTTTAAACAGATTTGGTATGACCATCACTTCATTTTCTAAAACCTACTATTAAATAAGTGCCTTCTGCTTTATTCAATCAGTGTTTTGTTTTGATTCTGTAACCAGATCATAGCCTTAGAAGCTTGAGTTATTTGGGAAAGACTCTTTCAGTAGATACCTAAACAGCACACAGTGGCACAAGATTTGTATGCTAATAGAAGTTTTCATGCCTGCCTTTTGTTCTGTTTTTTTTTTTTAAATCATCTCAGGTAAATTAGTTAACTTCTAGTCAATGACTAATCATGAAGAGATTCTTAAAGAATACAAATACTCATCACAAGAAGAAAAAAAGACAAACCCCTTTTTGTAATGAGCAATGTTACACTACATGAGTATTAAATGTATTATTATAATATGTAATACTGCGTCTCCCTGGAGATAATCAAAACCCAACTGGACGTGCTCCTAAGCAGCCTGCTTTAGGTAAGGGGTTGGACTAGGTGATCTCCAGAGGTGCCTTCCCACCTCAGTAATTCTGTGAGCCTGTATTGTGCAACTTGTGACTTCTTGCACTGCATCCACCCAATTGCTCTTGATCCCTTAAATGTTGGTCATCTCTTATTTGTGGGAAAGCTCCTGATCAGGGTAGACAGTATATACGTAAGAGGTAACGCAGTTCTGTTTTCTTTTTACGATACCTTAGGTATAGACGAGAGTTAAACAATTCTCGAGTTTAACACGTGCAGAGTGGAGAAGGGTTCATCTCATCTGCATTGGGTTGATACTATGCTACTAAAAAAACCCAGTAATGTGAAGATGCTTGAAGGGAGAGTACTTACGCTTGTATCATGGCTTGTAAACTGAACAGCTGAACTGACCAGATTAGATACAAAACTGACCACAGGAAGCCTGGCTCTTTTGCTACTCCCGGGTACTTGGGTCCTGTAATTCTCACCACTGAAAAAGCTGACATCCTGTGGAGAGTGTTCTGGGATTCAGGTGCTGCGGCAGAGCTCTTGTTTTCTGACCCTTGTAGATACTGGACATTCCTAAAGCCTGAGGAAAGAAGTGGAAACCGGACTCAAAGCTGAGTGGTTAGTTGTCTGTTATTTTCTAGCCTCAGCTTCTGACATGTTTGTCTTCCTTCATTAATAATTTTTGCTATTGCTTGTAGATCTCCTTTGCAAGCAACATGAGACTGACCTGTTGAATTTCAGAAGTGACTCCAGTATGTTTAGCAGCAGCAGGAAAGGAGATCCCGTTCTTTATTTTCACCTACTGCTTGCTAACAAGTAACAAAATTGCTTGAGCCATATCTCCAAAACATTCCCCTGTGCTAGAGTCTGCAACCTTTTTTTTTTTTTTTGGCAACAGTTGCAAAAATAATCTACACCCTCATCTTTCCAGCCTTGAAACTTTCACTCCGCAATTTGTTCACTAGAGACTGACATTTAACTACTGCTGAGGCTTTTAAAGCCCAACCATCAAGTTTCAGGTATCCTATCACACACCTGAGACATTTTAATGTAGAATGTAGGTTGAGCCTGACATGAGATGCATCTTCATTAGCTGCTTTTTTTTTTTTTTTTAAAATCAAAGCATGAGCTGGGAGTAAGCTGTGTCAGTATACAAAGAAAAAAAGTAAACCCAACCATCATCAGATGAGTGAGATATATGGGAATGCATTAGTTTGCATGTAGTAATTAAGGTGAATGTTTATGTTAGGCTCCAATACACCTTCCCAGTAACCAGTTAGAATTTGCATGTAGTTTTGTATGATCAAGTAGCCCAGTCCCGTCTAGGAGTCACTCACTATATGTAGACTAGTACTGGGTGTCCCTGTTTTGCACCAGTGGTAGGCTAATTGTATTATGGTGGTAGCTAGAAAATATATGGAAAAAGGTAAAATTGTGTTTGGGGAAGGGAAGAACAATGTTTTAGTAGTCAGTGGTATTTTATGCTAACTCTCTTATAGGGTTACAATCCTAAGGTTATGGAAGATTCAAAATGGAGGTAGGCCACCTTTCTGCAAGTTGATATAATCAATTTGTTTAACATCAGAATTTGTTGCTCATGGTTTATTCCAAGAGTCTTAAAACCTTGGTAAATTCTCTTGTTATTTATTAACTGTCACATTTTAAGGTATGTATTATCTTATTAGAATTTGCAAGTACTATTAGTTTTCTAACTTCCTGCCTCTTTAAAGCATTTGCTATGTGAAAGCTTATATGCAATAGTAATTTTAGAAAAAAAATCTAAAACTGAAGACAACAAGGTGGTTCTCTAAATTTTTTGTTGTTGTTGTTCCTGTAGCAACTGTTTAACAACTACCTCCACTTTTGTTGTTTAGTGTATTCTTGAAACACGGTGCCACTTCATGAACAAATTAATCTGAAGATAAGTAGAAGTTTACCACAAGCAAAAGTAAAATCTAGTCTTTCAATAAGCAAACACATTGCTTCTTAAGTGACCAACTTGACTGGAGAGCGATTTGAAGACAGTGCTACTTAGGAAGAAAGAATCTGAGAATGTTTTTAAACTGGTTGTGGTTCTGTCATCTGATACAGCAGTATAAAGAATAGGGCATTTTGTCCTAAAGGACAATAGGAAAAGGGGCCAATTTAAGCACCTCAGATAAATAGTTTTGGATTTTCACTCTTTGAAAAAACAAAACAAAAAAAAAGCAAACAAAAAATTAAACACACACAAAGCCCCAGGCATTCATTTTCTAGATTTTCCATCCTAGTTTAAATAACAAACATTTTACAAAAAAATATTGGTTAGCCTTGTTTTAAGAATTACTGTGATGAAAAAGTTTGTATTTAGTTAGGTGGGAGTTCAGCAGTCAGTATTCTTGAAAATACTGCTAGTGAATTCGTGGTAAAGATGTAACCTGTTGTTTCTTTCTGTCATACTTGTTTCGTGTTGCTGTAGTACAATGGTGATCAATCTTTGGACTGATGTTTCTTGTGCCAGTCTGTATATTGTCTTTCACTGGGGGGGGGGGGAACCGGCCCAAGACAGCTTGTGGGCAGTTTCTCCTTATCACACTGTGCTTAGATAGCTGCATACTAATGGAAATTTCTGTTTACCACAATATAAAAGCAATAACGTAAATTGTGATGTCTGTGTAATGGAAAGAGATGTTTACAATGGTAGCAAATAAAGAACGAGTTATTCCAAAATATTATCAACCTTAGAGTGTTATGGCCTGCTAGAAAACGTAACAATAGCCGTGCTCTCAGTTCGTGCACGTGCACGGTGATACGAGGGAAAGCTTTATCCTATCCTCTTTGTTTTGGTTTGGTTTTTTCCTCCAGCTCCGAGAACTTGTTTTGCGGCCTCTATGGTTCTTGTACTGGGCTTGCATTTGTGCCTTTCCTAATAGCGCTGTAGCACAAACTGTTGAAACGGTGGGCAGCAGAACACCTGTGTGCATGGAAGCGGAACTGGAAAAAACAACAGCTGGAACAAATGCTAGCTGGCTCACATATATTTTCTAGTTTTGAAATCATCATCCAAGATTAAACACCAGAAGAAAGGAGTAAGATTTAAATCTGACTGCGAGATCTGTACAAAATGTGTTTGTTTTTAACTCTCAAGATTAGTGTGATACCATAGAAAAACATGCTTACGTGCAAGTTCACTTGAAATCTTACATCTGCTGTAACAGAAAATTATGCAATGGGAAAGTCCGAGTTGGACAGACATGATGAATTTGTGTGTGTTGTGGCCTTTAACACTCCCGCGTTGCCCCGACCTTCGTCAGCCTGTCACTCCCAACAGGAGTCACAGCTACGGTGTACGCACAGACCAACGGCATCAGCGCGAGGCGAGAGGAAAGGCTTCCCGCTTTGCTGGTCAAGGGCTTCTCCAGCCATCGTCTCACTTTCTACACCGACCTGAAAGGTGGCGGCACCCCTTTTCTCAAATTCTCTTGGTCCGTACCACGGAAAGTAGACCTCGCTTCCCTGATACATGGTATATATGCAAAGCGTATTGGGTTGGAAGGAGGCAGAGAGCAGCGTTGCTGAGTTTCTTTAGCTAGAGCACAACGTTGCTCTCTTCAGTGATGGACCAGAATTTTGATTATGGAATGTAAGAGAATATTACTTAGGTAGGCTGCCATACTCTGCTGCAGGTGGT